CGCTCGAAAAAGTCAACAGCGGAGGTAAAAATGTGTTTTGAGCATAGTCAGAGTTAACTCTTTGAGTGTCAGATATTTTCACATTTTGTAAAATTTTCACTAAAGCAGCCGACTTTGAAGGAGAAGTTGCAGGCTGGCAAACACAGTGTAGCATTGATGAATATCTCAACTTTGATAAATGTATATCGACCGACGCATGGGGATGTGCTAGACATGTTGACGAGATTACTATCCATGATCTTAAAACTCTAGCGGAAAACAAAATCGTTGAAAAAAAAGCAGTCAACAATTTTGAGATCGTAATTTGATTCATTGACTTGATAGCAAAATTAGCTCATGTGAAATTACATTGTGATGTCATTCAAAATGAATGCCTTCAGATACAATACGCAACGCTTACCTTGTCTGTTCAAACAGTGATTTTAATCAGTGATTAAGAGAAGAGAACAGAGGCGCAGCGCCCTCATGCCATGGCCATGCGCCCCCTTACCATGGGAAGCAAATCCTCTAGCAACCATAAAATTCTGATTGACCAGGGATCACATAGTGGCCATAGTCTTCAACTGTCTTCAACTGCCCCAAGAAGACCATAGAACGCTCCATTTTAACTTAGAATTATCAAAAACGCCACACCCTGGTAGGGAGAACCCTATCTCTCCCACTTGGTGGCGCCGCTGAATAGCAGTGCTCCTTCTTGCAGTTTTTTTTCTAGAAAAACCCCTGTTAATGTTTATTGATTTCATGTACATCCCATAATATTCATAAATGTAAATATAATCACTAGAGGCAAACTTCGCTGTTGTTTACCCATACAGCACATGTAATTGTTGTTTCAATCAAAGTCACACCCACCCTAAGTAAACTAACTCCCTCTGAAAACCGACCATAGATCCCAGTCATGGTCAATTGTGACAGGTTTTATTACGTTCGATTTTATTTGAGATGGGCTTTTGATACAGTATTTGTCGCGAACATCAATATTGTGATTAATTTCTGAGTTATTATTATGTTACGGTGATACTGCCGATATCCAAGTGAAATACAGAAATTATGTTAATTAGGGTCAGTCTACGTCCGCACATGGTCGGTATTGACCAATCAGTGTTTGTTTAACTTCTGCTCGCGTGCAGTTCAATTTCTGTTTTTACCGCGTTCCTGTTCCAGTCGAACATTTTCTTACCACTGTATTTTACTGGAGTCGTTTTGGAATAAATGGTTGTGATTGTATCATTATCAGAAAACCTAACCAAGTCTGTATTTCTGTGACGCTACTCACAGTATTCAAAATAAAAATATCCGGAGTATTGAATTTGCACGGTATTTAGCAGTGCACATAAACCAATAATTGAATTATGTACTGTATGCTAAATCTTTGAAATACTTTGACATTAATGTTTTATTTACATAAGTGCATGTGGTTTTAATGAAGCAAATACAGTATTGTAGAGCATGAAGTACGTGTATATGTTTGTTTCTCTTGGTAAATGTGGATGCCATTCTAAGATATTAGCAGTAAATCTTGGGGGCGTAGCTACGTCACAGAACATTCCATGTTGCAAAGATGTGTACCACTGTACCAGTCTCCTCGACAGAGTTCTATTTCTACGAATATATCTCTGCCACGAGATCTTATGCTTGACGTTCATTAGTCGATGCGTCACAGTAGTACTACTTTCAAAGATGCCCACCAAAACATTGCCATGCAGGTGTTCAATTTTCGAACCTGACGAAAGCGTATATGTTTTTTTGTACATTCTGGCAGTTTTCAAAGTGAAAAGCTAATTTTTTTTACTTTCCAAAGAAATAATTTTCTTTAGTAAATTATAACTTTTTATGAAAAAATCATTATCAGCTATCAATAACATATTTTATAAGTCTTGTGGCGTTCCACCACAAAATGGTGGTGTTTGGTGGCAGATATACTTTCGGTGTTCTGGCTGCAAGGATCTCTGGGAAGGAGAATGGCACTGTACATGTATATATTTGCGCTCTGCACGAGCTTCTGTGGTTGCCAGGCGATGAAAATATAAGAATACAGATACCTACCTGTCTGGCCAGCTCTAGATACTTCTCTTTTTCACCTCCTTCCAAGACAGCCCACATGTCTGCTAACATTTTAGTTGCTGACCGATTGTCTAACCATGGATGACGCTCTTTTACCAAGCTACGATGACGCTTGCAAAATAACAAAAAAGCATTCATCGGTCGTCTGACAGGACGATCGTCATTCAAGTCGTCATCATCATCTTCTTCTAGACTCACGGGCGGTGGAATCTCCTCCTTGATGCTGATTGGCTGGATGATTTCAGTAGCCATTATTTGGCTATAACATTTCATCGATTAGCAACGTCATACATGTAGGTGGACCTGTCGAATAAACAAGTCATAAAAAAAATGTTGTATTATTATTTAAATTTTGGACACCTCAACTAGAGACCCTGGAATGTGTGAAACATTGCATTATAGAATAAGTCATTGTCAATGGTATAGTTCTCGACCAGTTTTTAGTTTTTTATAATTAATGAAAGATATTTAATTAAATGTTTATATAATAGTGCACTACCCACTAAGTAAACATAATTTTCATGAACAAAATCGGTCAAAGTATGTGAGAAATGATAAAACCAATATTGCCACTAGTCGGCCATTCATATCAACTCACAACACAAAACATCATGTGACTTGCTTACTGTATGTTTGAAAGAAATCTGCCAAGACTTGCCTAAGAAGCAGTTGACGATGGGTTCAAATGGGAGGATGGAGGAGGGAGTTACAAAAATGCCATCAGCCAAAGTATCAAAAAAATCGAATTGATGTGTTTTATTACGACTTGCCTTTGTACTAACTTTGAACAAAATTGATCTAGTCATGACTAAGAGATGATATCGGATGCAGGGACTCCAAGTCTTTGATGCAGTCCTTATCTGACAGGGACTAAAACGACCAAAAGCAAAGAGATAAACACCACAAAGCACCTAGTATAGAAATGTAATTCATGTCATAATTTCATTGTCTAAAACACAATACACAGAATCACAGACATAATACGACCAAATCTAAACTGCATTATCGCAATTGCTTTCTACGTTAACCCTGGAAGTGTAAAAGTCACATGATTGAAACCAAGGATTTCATTCAAAACCGAATCATATTCTCACCCTCGCTTAGTGAAAATAAAATATGTTTGGGGTTGCAATCACCGTAATTATCACAGCGGTAAGTAGTCTCTCACCTCTTGGTTATTATTGTCGTCCAAGTAATTTTAGTTCCCCGGGCGCCTCCAATAAATAAGCTATATAACCACTGGGCTGCATCAATTATATATCACCCAAAAAATGGAAGATTGTGCGAACATTTGAAATGTTGATCGTGATATTGCATTACTTGCATTACATTGCGTTTTTGTCATGCCATAAATTGCGTTTTTAGAGTCCCTGAAGTTTGTTTCAAAGACTGCAGTCGCTCAGAGATAACCAAAACGTTGAAATGTTCGTGCAATAAATTATGTTTTCGGGGACCTTCAAACTTGTTTTTGAGCTTTGCCACCTATTTCCCCCTAGAGTGAATCACAGCACTAATATTTGTTCCCCCAGGGTGTGTTACTATCGGTATCGAATTTTCAAACTGTAACTTTACATTTACAAAACATTTATTTATGCTTTCTAAGAAAGTTTCCCAATTTATTGATCAATAATGTTCACGTTGACGTATGTAAAGACACTCTTAAACTTTACAATATTCACTCTCAGACCACTGCTCAGTTACATCACTAATAAAGACTGATGAATTCTGGCCAGGATAGCTGTATTCATTTCTATGCAATTGCGATTCTCAATTTCTATGTGTAAAATCATATCACTGGTGTGGACGACGACAGATTGTTTTGGTTCTGTGGCTCTCTGACGTTTTCTTGGTCGCATTTTGTATATACCAGACACTGATAAGTAAGTAAAAAGTCCAGGGCATAGTCAAAATAATCAGATATTTATGCTGGAGAACACAGTATACAAGGACTGGAAATTAGTAGTACACACAAAGTACACAGTGTAGTCAAATCAGTAAGCCAAAGATACTATGGACCCTATGGTATACATGAAGATGTAAAAAAAAATTAAAAAACCTGCAGCTCCCATGGCAAGTTGACAATCGCTAGTAAAGTAGTATTGCAAAACTGCCAGTTGTCAGTTTTAAATCTCATTTATTAGGATTTCTGCATGAAGTCACATGTTATCGTTATAATGAGGAAAAATAATGATTTCTTTTGACCAGGTTATATAATAAATTCTTTAATTAATATTTCATGGGTATTTTTGTTAATGACATGAAACTCTCAATTCTCAACTCTGATGAAAAATACCAGTTACTGTGACAAAGCTCTCCTCACTGAGAAAGCTAATCACTACGAAAGACACTCACAGCAAAAACCACTTATCGCTAATCTACTAGTTCATTACGTAAAAATTAGTCACATTAATTTTTAAGGATTGGTATTTGTGGTATTTGTGGCTCGAGGTTGTATGGCGAAATGACTGGGAGGGTTAGTTAGTCGTACGACAATGGGCACTAAAAGCTGTATCTAGTCTGTAATAGTTTTAGCATATACTTCATAGGGTTCATTGAAAATAAATGCAACTGTTTTCAGCTACTAGTGTATCATTTATCTCTGTTATTAATTTAATTCTAATATTTATTTAATTGTTCATAATGCAGATTGATATTTCTGTGCCTGACGTCACAACATCAACAAGACATGTGAGCATTCAAACAATTGGTCGTCCTTGCAATTATCACGACCCATGGGTAATAGAAAATAATGTCAATTTTGTCCGAATTAACTATGAATTTAGACAATGAACCAATTCTTGCATTTTAAAAAATATTTATAAAGTTCATGATTAAAACTGAATTAAGCAAAGTTTATAAGCAAAGCATTTGTAGATTCTAAATTTACTTATTGACGTTGAGTATCGGCATTCTATTTTTTTAATTAAGTCTGCTCACCACGCTTATTCATTGGCTGGTTGGATTCAACAGCCATTGAAATTTTAAATTATGATGGTAATGGGTTTGTTGCACTGATAGTAAACATATAAAACATGCAAAAAGTTGCAGTAAAGTTTCAGTGAGAAAAATTTGGCATTTAACGAACAGTGTTTGGTGCAACTACAGGTGTTCATATTTTGTGAAATAAACATACTACACTTGCATATGAATGTGGTTTCTTTCCTAATATTTTGTGAGTCGTTCGGCCCATCTCCATACTAATCTGGTAATGTTGCCTCAATTTTGCTTGTACTGTACGGTCACTGGTTGATGGCAACATTGATCGGTGGATAAATATAGCATGCTACTAATCTGAATATTCTAACGTAACGAACAATGAAATTGACAGTTATACCAAATGCACTATTATCATAGTTGGAACAGAGACGATAGTGTGACTGTCGCTATTTTTCCCACGTTGAAATAAATAACACAGTTTTGAGTAAAATCAAAGCAAGGATTTCAGACTAGAATGAAGTGGGTCGAAGTACCCATGAAATAACAGAAACGTAACCAGGCTAGCAATTATGTAGCTAGATGTAGAATGGGACCCACGCTGCATCATCAAGATTACATCATTATGACACAACTGTACCATCAGAAGGTACTGTATTGTATAACAACAAGAATTACATAGGTTCGTATAAATGCTATAGAATTGCATCGCCTAATCGTGAAAATTTCAAGCAGCAAAAACGATTGACAATATGACAATAAAACTGGATATGTGCAAAAATATAGCTTGTAACAATATCATGTTCAAGTTGGTGTCAGTCAGTGGGTTTCCATTGGCAACAAGCAGTCCAGGGAGCTAGGACATGAAGCAATATTTGAAGCCCAGGCACAAAAATTTTATTCAAAATTGGAGTGTAAATGGCACAGCTAAAATATAATTGGTATCGTCTCACAATAGATTCTGTCTACACACAGACGCTGACATGAAAATTATTCATTAACGTTTTGATTCTAATCCAAAAATATTATTGTTCAATTTTATGTCACAGATCGTCGAGTGATCACACAAAGCTGACATGCACCCTGGCAGCCGACATGTATGCAAGGAACAATAATTGAAAAAAATTGGACTGATTAAAAATTAACATTTTGACAATGCATAATTATTTTACCCGGATCAGCAGATGAAAACAAAACAAGGGAAAAAATGACAACCGTTTGATCGACGACCAGCTGATGCAGAGTACTGGACAAGCGTTCGGTCTCAGGGTATATTTTTGATAAAGACGTGACGTTTATGGTTAAAATAGTGTTAATAACGGGGTTCCCATAACAGGTGCCGACTGTTGGACTTCTGTGTGACGATTCGATTGAAAAAAATAAATAACAAACACTGTTCGTGACCCAGGCTGCCCCAGAATGCCCATAGCCAAGGACAGAGGCCACATTTCTTTCCTCCAATTGCTGTGACAACATGGTACGGCGAGTTAACAGTATAGTATGAATCATTTCAAAATTATCACAGTCAACCATCTGGCTTGCTAATGTAGATAATTTCTGTCGCGAAACATAACATAATTTAACGGTGAAGCAGTTTCGTAGCCGGCCATATGTTAAGCATATAAAATTATGCATGCATTGTACCACTGTGTTTGGATAAAAAAAATGACGGATTTGTGTCGTAATTTCGACTCCGAGACACACTGACAGCAACAGAAATAGGCAATCGCGAATGAAACTATCTCTAAAATGTCCAAAATTGATCATTTTTGTGGAAAATACGCGAAATACTTCATCCTGATCGGTTCACATGGAGTGAACTTCCAATCGTAAAATACGACAACATGGATCTGCGGACCAATTTCGTAGGAATTTTCAAACTCGCCAAAGTAGGCAAAACAGAGAGAAAATGTTAAAATTTCCGGCGTGACATCACCAGATAGTCTTAATACTATCCCAATTTGTGCGGATTGCTTATTGTTGAAAGACTTTTCATTAACGATTTTGTTAAAACATGTTGAAAATAGTCAATTTTACCTGATGTCGATTTCAACGTGCCTGCAAACACAGCTAACTCATTAGCTATGCAGTATGTAAATGAGCACCAAGGTACCCTGTTTTTAGAGCCTATCGTACCTCGATATGTCAAGTGAAGAGAGAGAATCTTCTCAAATGAGCCCTAAGTCATCAAAAATATACACCAGGATTCTAAAATATACCAAATGTGTGAAAACTGTACGATTCTACCGACTCCCACTGTCCCCCGCGACACTCTAAACATGGCGGAAGTTTCAAACTTTATAAACGTAAATATTATTTATTTTTCTACCACGCACTAAAAATCTCTCGGTGACAAACTAGCTTGCGGAACACAGATCAGTAAGGGATAGTTAAAGATGTATTACTCATATAAGTGCACATTTTGAAACTGTAATTGACAGTGAAAATTGAAAAAAATGTATGTAGATTAAATATACTATTCCTTATCAGTCAAGCCCTTGGATGGTGTATGGCTGTATACGGTAGAGTGGGATTTTCTGCAGAAATTATATTGAAATCTGCACCACGAAAAACGTTG